GAGAGACAAAAGGAAGGAAAAGAGAGAGAGAGAGAGAGAGAGAGAGAGAGAGAGAGAGAGAACACATGGCTGGCAAGCCACTCCCACTAGGTCACATGACCGACAAGCCACTCCCACAAAGGAGGCCACACCCACAGAGTAGGTTCGAAATTTTTTTGAAATCCACCACTGCCACAATCCTTTCTCCATCTGTTTGGAAGCCTGATCTGAAAAAACAGAAAAGGTGCATTATAGGTAATGCATAACATAAAACACACAAGCCCAAATCTGTCTGTCTGTCTGTCTGTCTGTCTCTCTCTCTCTCTCTCTCTCTCTCTCTTTCTCTCTATCAGAATTTATAAGCGACGTGTGGCTAAGTGGCTTACCGACAATAAAAACACAATGTTAAAAACACAAAAATAATAAAAAATAATACTGATTAATAAAACTTCCAAAATAGGTCTTTTTGTTAAGGAAGAAAACCTGTGGGGAAGATGGGAAGATCGGTTTCAGCCACTACCCGAAAAAAAATTACTCAAAGGCAACCAATTTATGGTCCCTTTAGAGCACTGATGCTGCTAAAGATGTGATTAGCCCATTTTCTTGATAAATGGCCAAGCAGGAGAAAGCCTTGACAGCATAATATCCAGATGTCACCAACGGACATTAATCAAACTTCTTTCTTGGTTTTTAGCGGGCAGAAGGCTGAAACAAGACAGGCAACAAATCCCATCTTCATAGAATGCGGCTTGCTCATTGCATTGCTATAGTTCCTGCAGAAAATTGCCATCTGGAAGAAATGCAGTTGTTTAGATTTCTTCCTTTTCTCCTGTCCAGCTAATCTAATGCCTGTGAGCAGATTTGTTTTGTCATGCAGTAGCTTCATCAGAGGGGTGAAACCAATCTGTTTGATTCAAACCTTGCTAAAAATCCAGCTGGAAAAATCTGTTTGGCGTGCCAACTTCCATGGCAACAAGCATTTGGTCAGCTTCCTCGACAGCCCTTAACTTGAAAGAATCAAATGATGATTATAACCTCTGTGGGTGATTTCAGGAAGAAAACTGGCAGCAAAATTAGCATTTCATAGGAGAATGTTTGTCTTCCTTTTAAAAACAGCACAGTTGCTTGATCCTTGTGGGATTCCTGAATATTTTTAACTGGTAGATGCAGTTTCATAAAATAGGTCAACCAATTAATGTAGCTTCTTTTTTCTTGAAAGCACACTTAAAGGGTAGATTGCTGCAAGGCAATTTATTTGCGATTCTGAGCTATTTTGCTTCAAAATAGCTGACTTGATTTACAGTACATGGAATGCCCTCTGAGTAATTCAGAGATATTCACTGTCTTCATCAGGGTTTGTAACAGAGAAAGGGATCAACCTATTCTCCAAAGCACTTGAAGCCAGGACAAGAAGCAATGGATGGAAACTAATTGAGGAGAGAACCAACCTAGAATTAAGGAGAAATTTCCTGACAGTGAGAACAATTAATCAGTGGAAGGGCTTGCCTCCAGAAGTTTTTTAGGAAGAGATTGGACAACCATTTGTCTGAAATGTTACAGGATTTTCTTTGAGCAGGGGGTTGGACCAGAAGACCTCCAAGGTCCTTCCAACGCTATTATTCTGTTATTCTGCAAAATCCAACCCTTTGTTCTTGTTGATGTATTGTTTGATGTCTTTGTGTTTCAGAGTGATCGCCTTTTGATCAAAGGAGGCAAAATAGTCAACGATGACCAGTCCTTCTATGCAGACATTTATATGGAAGATGGGTTGATAAAGTGAGTAGCTGATGATTTTGCTTCTGTTATGGAATTTAATTAAAACTGTCACACTGGGCTCCACGGAAGCGTTGAGATAAAACTTAAGTAATGCTTAAGGAAAGAAAAATTGGAAAAAGCCATTTCGGGTTGACTTCTTGAGATCATTAAATTTAGTGCAGTCTGCCACAAAGAAAACATGCATGGAGTTGTAGTCCAGAGATATAAATATAGATTTAAGGTTGACCACAGAGATTGAGAACTTGGCAAGAATGGGAAGACTTTGGTGCTTCCCATTCTTACCAGCACACAGTTTAAATCCTGGTACTTCTGCCTATTGGGTGAAAATCTCTTGTGAAGACATGAATTATAAAGAGCAATTGCAGCATGTCTTGCCTGGCTTCTGGGCTGTTACTGAATTGGTGCTGTACTAGGTTATAATTTAGGAGTGTAAAAAGTGCCCTCCATGCTCTCTGCATTGAGAGGCAGCCCAAGGCATTTGCTGCAACCCTCATGAGAAGATAACAGGCTTTCTTGGCAGTCCCAAAAGTTTTTTTTTCCAAAAAGCAACAGAACTTTCTTGGTTTTTCCCCCCTTGAAAATGTACATTTTAAAAAATAATAATATTGGAACGTGTGCTTCTTTCTCTCTGTGCTTATAATACTGATACCAGACTGCCTCTTATCTCAGACAAATAGGGGAGAACCTCATTGTGCCAGGAGGGGTAAAAACCATCGAGGCTCATGGGCGAATGGTGATCCCTGGAGGAATTGATGTCCATACCCGTTTCCAAATGCCTGACCAAGGAATGACCTCCGCTGATGACTTCTTCCAAGGGACAAGAGCAGCCCTGGCTGGAGGCACCACTATGATCAGTAAGGACTAATTTATCTAATTTAAATGTAATTAAATTAGGTACCGGCTAAAAATTGGGAAACCGTGAGTTCTAGTCCCACTTTAGACATGAAAGCTGGCGGCGTGACTTTGGGCCAATCACCAGGAGTCTGAGAATTCTAATCCCGCCTTAGGCGCGAAAGCCAGCTGGGTGACTTTAGACAGTCACCCCCTCTTATCACTCCAGCCCACCTTACAGAGTTGTTGTAGACAGCAAAGTATGTTGGATATGTTTGCTGCCTTGAGTTATTTGAAAAAATTATTTATTCATTTATTATCAAAATTTATATGCCGCCCAATCCCGAAGGACTCCGGGCGGCTTACAAAAGAGAGAGAGAGAGAGAAAAAAAGACAGTTTAAAACCAGAACACCACATACATTCATTCTAATTGGGGCTGGACCTCAACAATGCTGCGTGCTATAAAATAATAAAGGCAGGATGCAAATAAAGTAAATAAAACATGGAGATTAAAAGATGATGCTTGTAGTGCAAGAACAAAAGGTCAGAAAAGGGCATGAGCCACAGAACTGGTGTTTCTGTCTAAAAATGGGAGTTAGTGTTTAATAGTTCAGGATGCTTCTAACTTTCCTTTTGGGCAATGTTTTGTAAAGATTCTGCTCTTAGGACCCTTTTCTACTTTTAAAAGAAAGAGCTTTTTGTTGTGCTGGTTATATTTATCCATACTTACTATATGGAAAATTAAAATTGATGCATCTGTAAAACATTTCTTTTCATGTAAAAATCATGTAAAAAGAACAATACTAAAACCCATCAGGTCATAACATAAATACCTTCACAGAAAAAAAAATCCCTACGTTTTAACAAGTTAAAATAAAAAGGATGAGAATGACGTTTTAAATGTTTGCAAATATCTGGCAACTTATTTTGATTTTGGAGACCCCTTTAGAGGATCTTGGGGGATTCCAGGGATCCTTGGACCTACTTTAAGAAACTCTGCTTTGAGGTGTTACAAAACTCTCCTAATTTTACATGGTTCGGGAGGGAAGCTAAAATCTTATGTCACATAAATCTAAACAATATCAACCACCTTGGGTGCATCAGATCTGCTCCCGATATCCTAGATTGGCTCAGGAAACAGCCAGTGTTGCTTATGTTTCAGTAGCACACATCTATCTGCAGTTAGGAAATGTAGTGAAACCATTGTGAATCCTTGCAAAGAAGGTTTGCAGTTGCATCAAGGTTTAGTTTTAGTTTACTTTTTAAAAAAAAATAATGTCAATAGGGACGCGGCGGCTCAGTGGCTAAGATGCTGAGGTTGTCGATCAGAAAGGTTGGCAGTTTGGCGGTTTGAATCCCTAGAGCTGCGTCACAGAGTGAGCTCCCGATACTTGTCCCAGCTTCTGCCAAACTAGCAGTTCAAAAGCACATAAAAATGCAAGTAGAAAAATAGGAACCACCTTTGGTGGGAAGATAACAGCATTCCATGCGCCTTTGGCGTTTAGTCATGCTGGTCACATGACTACGGAGACGTCTTCGGACAGCGCTGGCTCTTTGGCTTTGAAACGGAGATGGAACCAACCAACCTTATTGTCATTACACATGGTACAAAGAAATTAAATGCCATCTTCAGTTTACACTATAACTATAAAAATAAAATACAAACACATCCTTCACATTCTATACAATTGAATTGAAAACCCCTGATATTGCATTAATACTGCACTATACAGTAGATTTCAATATTGTTAATGTCCTGGGATAACAGCTGTTTTTTAGCCTATTTATCCTTGTTTTTATTATCCTGTACCGTCTGCCAGATGGCAATAGGCAGATTCTGGTTGAATGTTAGACAAAAGTTCCTAATAATAAAAATTGTTTGGAAAAAACAGCAATATCAAGCTAGGCATTTTAAAGCAGAGTCAGATCTCTTAGTTGTGGTGGCGCGGTGGTTAGAATGCAGGATTGCAGACTAACTCTGTCTGTAGCCAGGAGTTTGATCCTGACCAGCTCAAGGTTGACTCAGCCTTTCATCCATCTGAGGTCGGTAAAATGAGGACCCACTGGGCAATATGCTGATTCTGTAAACTGTGCCATAAAGCACTATGGGGTGGTATATAAGTCTTAAGTGTTATTGCCATTGCTACTTGTTTTGTTTCCAAGAAACAACGTGGATGTTTCTTCTGAAATCATTTCCACTAGCCCTCAAAATTTAGCAAATCCTTGAATTGGAATTAGCATTATGTCTGACAGGTGAAATCTCACCGGCTCAAAGTTGACTCAGCCTCCCGTCCTTCTGAGGTGGGTAAAATGAGGATCCAGATTGTTGGGGGCAATATGCTAACTCTGTAAACGGCTTAGAGAGGGCTCTAAGGCACCATGAAGCGGTATACCGGTATATGTCTTAAGTGCTATTGCTGTTTATATCCAAAAGGTGAAAAAGCAGAATTGCATCCCTTTTCAGGCCATATTAAGCTCTGTTTTGAGTATAGAAATTAATACTTTTCTTTTGAAGTTCTATACTTTGACAAGTATACTTTGGATAATTTACACCATGTTTCCTCCTGCATTTTCCTGCTGGATAATTGATTCAAGGAAAGAGAATGGAGGAAGTTTGAATTGAATTTTATGCTAAAATAGATCAGGAGGTCAGAAGAGTATCTGTATAAAGCAGGGGTGAAATTCAGTAGGTTCTGACAGGTTTTGGAGAACTGGTAGTGGAAATTTTGAGTAGTTCGGAGAACCGGCAAATACCACCTCTGGCTGGCCCCAGAGTTGGTTGGGAGTGGGGATTTTGCAGTATCCTTCCCCTGCCATGCCCACCAAGCCACGCCCACAGAACAGGTAGTAATTTTTTTTGAATTTCGCCACTGGTATAAAGGATTACCGTATTTTTCAGAGTATAAGATGCACCAAGATTTTGAAGAGGCAAATTATATAAAAAAAAGTTTTTGCACTCTGCAGATCTCCCAAAAATGACCCATTTTTTGTGAAAACTGCCCTGTTCCCCCCCCCAAAGGGCATGAATAGCCTTTAGGAGGCTCGTAGAGTGCTCCTGGGCAGTGCTCCCCCCCAAAATGGGCAAAAATGGCCGATTTTTGCAAAAAAAGAGTATGCATAGCCTTTAGGAGGCTTATAGAATGCTCCCGGGGGCTGTGGGGGACAAAATTGAGCAAAAGTGGTCTGTTTTTCACTCATTTCTGCCCTCCCCAGCCCCCAGGAGCAGTTTGCAAGGCTCCTAAAGGCTCTGCATGGCCATTTTGGTGAAGGGGGAGGGGGTTGGTAGGCAAAAAATGTTGTACTCAGTGTAAAAGATGCACCCAGATTTTCAGCCTCTTTTTTGAGGGAAAAAGGTGCATCTTATACTCCAAAAAATATGGTAATTTCTCCTCCAATAACCTCTTTGAAGATGAAACCATCTTCAAATGACAAGAAGAGTATCTGTATATAAAGGGTTAATTTCCTTAGAGGATTTTTTTCCTCTAGGCTAAATAAATTTGGTTAAAAGTTTGTACAACTGTCATCGGGGTCCTTGAAACTAAGTAGGTGCTAAGCCTCCACAGTATTTCATCTTGGCTGTCCTACCCTCCTCCTCCTTGTTGTTGATCCTTCTGAGGAACTGTTGTTTGTCAGCCTTAACAGCTGGATTGGATTTTTACACAAACATTATGCTTGTCTTCTCTCTTCCCCACTCTCTTCCCTCCACAAGTTCTAGGGCTGGAGAGTAGGTTAGCCTTTCTCATGGTACAAAAATCTCACATGTGGCATTCTAAGTCATGCATAACTAGTACAAAAGGCCGGTGTGTGGGTGTGTGTGGGGTGGACCTGGAACAAGAAAATAAGGGACACATCAAAGGAGAAGAGAAGGATGCACCATATTATCAAAAGAAATTACACATCCATATATAACCAAATGTAAGTTTGCAGTGGGCTTTCAGAAGCAAGCTTGGCTAGGGGCTGAAATTTAGAAGGTCATCTACTGTACTCAGTTTTTAATTCCAAACTCTTAATATCCAAAAAAGGTTGCTCAGCCAAGAACTGCTGTATTGAAATGACATTGTTGTCCATCTCTTCCCTGTCTCCTCAAAATAGAAACATCTGGATGGTTGGCCTCACTGTTTCTCTTCTCTTCTGGCCAAAATCTGAAAAAAGAGAGAAAGTTTTGACATCTTTTTCAAGAAAATCAACTACTTTTAAGTGGTATGAGCCAAGGTGGCGCAGTGGTTAAATGCAGCACTGCAGGCTACTTCAGCTGACTGTAGTTCTGCAGTTCGGCTGTTCAAATCTCACCGGCTCAGGGTTGACTCAGCCTTCCATCCTTCCGAGGTGGGTAAAATGAGGACCCGGATTGTTGTTGGGGGCAATATGCTGACTGTGTAAACCGCTTAGAGAGGGCTGAAAGCCCTATGAAGCGGTATATAAGTCTAACTGCTATTGCTATTGCTATTGCTTTGTGCAAACAGTGTATTAATTTACCTAATTCTGTGTAATACACCAAATTATGCAAATGTCCTTTGCCTGGAGCAAATAGAAAAAATTAGAACGACTCTACTTCAACGCAGTATGTAGCAGTAAGAGCTGCAAATGCTACAATAGTGGTGGCCACGCATGTCTGCGAGACATGCGGCAGAACTTTTCGTGCCCGTATAGGCCTTACCAGCCGCCTGCAGACACATGGTGGACAGCCCACAAGCTGTTAGATGTCAAGGTCCTCTTCGAACACGATGGATGGGGGGATTTGTTTGTGATGGGATGTGGCATGGCATCACATGCTTCAGTCCCTTTTCTTCCAGAACTTCAGGAAAGCAGTTTACAAGAAGAGAAGTGACCTGAAGGCCATTTGCAATACTGTCAGATGGTTTTATTCGACTTTTTTTTGCAGAGTATTTCAAATATTCATCCGCCAGTGTTTGGCGCACTGATTGGGACCTCAAGGATATCAAGAGAAGGGCGCTTACACTAGCTGCATACTTTTCTAAGCTGTGAACCATGCTTGGGTTCATGCAGGGGCGATGTGTAAGG